AAGGATTATGAGACTAAGAGGAAAGGTGCAAAGCAAGGAAAGGTTCAGCAACTTCCAGCAAGACACAGGCAGAGGAAGCCCAAGAACATTTTCGCATTAACACCTTTTATGTTATTTGTGACAACTTGGTTGCTGAACTTTTGAGAAGAAAAATGGCATATGACTCTTTCTTTGGAAAGTTTAAATTCATTACTGATTTATCAAAAACTGAGCCATCAGCAATATCACAGCATGCAAATAACCTTTGTTCTTCTTACAGCAAAGACTTGGAACAGGAGTGTTTTGTTGATGAGTGCCTCCACTTTCGTTCATACCTAATAAGTTCTTCTGCACAAGATACCTCTGTTCTGACCGAAATGATAAGGGAGAGAGGATTGCAAAGCATTTATTTAAATGTGGACATTGCTATCAGAATGTTTTTTGTACTTCAGCAACTAACTACTCAGCTGAGCGTTCTTTCTCGACTTTGAAGCAAGTTAAGAATTACTTACGATCCAGAATGGGAGAGGAAAGATTGAACTCCCTGGCAGTGTTGACAATAGAGTCTGAACTCACAAAATCTTTGGACTATGAAGAGATCATCAACATCTATGCCACACAGAGTTTGGTGAAAGCCACTTTAGTTTACAAGTATGATTTAGATCTAATAGTCTAATATTCAACAGTTTGCACTTATTTAAGTCAGAAATGTTTACAGTTTTATTTGTTGTATTCAACAAGTTGCATTTCAGTTTAATATATTAATATATTTAATTAAAGTTATCTAAGTTATTAAAAACCTCATTGTGTCAGTTTCAGGATGGATTAATTGATGTAAGTAAATAGTGTGTGTGAAAGTCTGTGCTATGGCTAAAGTAGTGTAATGGACTGGATGTGTTTATATGTACAGTGCCATTGTCTTGTATGAATGACACAAATTGTGTATGCATGTCCAGTAACAGCTGTTGAAGCCTTGGTGCTGTTACTGCTCATGTGGACTGACTACGTGCTAATTCAAACAATTTGAGTGTCTGTGATCAATAAAGTGGTTGAATTTACACTTTATATTATTATTATGTAAATATTATCTTAAAATAATAGATGCAACATTTGAAATGGTGCAGAAAACACAAAATATTGGCCTTCGTTATTCACTTTTAAATACAGAAAGGAAGATGTGAAGCTCTAACAGGAGAGGGTGGGGCTTAAATAGGAAGGGGTGGGGTTTACACAGGAAGGGGTGGCTCTTAAACAGAAAGGGGTTTGGCCTTGACAGGAAGGGGGGGTCACATTTATATTAGGGGGGTGCCTGAGTTTAGTCTCGCCTAGGGCAGCACAAAACCAAGATACACCACTGGGGATTAGGCAAATGGCAAATGATTTAGGAAAACTAGAAACATGGTCAGAGTTGTGGCAACTGACATTTAATGTGGATAAGTGCAAGATAATGCATCTTGGACCTAAAAACCCAAGGGCAGAGTACAGAATATTAGAGTCCTAACCTCAACATCTTAGGAAAGAGATTTAGGAGTAATTATTTCAGATGACTTAAAGGTAGGAAGACAATGTAATAGTGCAGCTGGAAATGCTAGGAGAATGCTTGGTTGTATAGAGAGAGGTATTAGCCATTGTTCAGAACACTGGTGAGACCTCACTTGGAGTATTGTACGCAGTACTGGAGACCGTATTTTCAGAAGGATATTGACACGCTAGAAAGAGTTCAGAGAAGGGCTACTAAGCTGGTTTATGGATTGCAGGATAAAACTTAGCAGGAAAGGTTAAAGGATCTTAACATGCATAGCTTGGAGGAAAGACGAGGCAGTTGGCATATGATAGAAACCAGGGAGGGCTGGCAGCCTTAGGCCTGGGGGGCAAAACCAGTCAAGTGGCCCATTGCACCACCAAATCAGTTCACCATCCATGCCCACCTTTTCCTGGTTTTATAACAGATATTGATGTTATGCTAATCAGTAGCTCTTTGCCATACCTGCTCCTTCACGGCTCTGACTTTCAATGTTGTCAGAGCGCAGGCTGAGAATCTCTGAGCCTGTGCTCTGACTCACTAACTGAGCGCCAGAACCACGAGGGAGAGGATATGATCTGACTGCACCTACAGCTGGTGCGCACCAGTGGACCACCAGCGGATCATTTAAATTGAATATGCTGGGGTCCCCAACTTGTGAGCTGTGTTGGCCGCCGGGCGCCTCTGTTGTCATGGCACCCTACGTGACCGCACAGCTTGCACACCCCAACGGCTGGCCCTGCTGACACATACTGATGTTACTACTTAGAAATCCCTCAATATTAATACAGACATCAGAGTAAACACCAATAAACTGTGCAAACAGAGCTGATCCCCCCCCAAAGATTTGCTTAATGGATTTGTTGTAAGATTAAATCATGCCTCCTCCTCTCGCTCTCCCTCTCCCATGCGCTGCGCTGTAGGCTGGGAGGAAGTGAAGAGTAATCACATTCTCCCAGCACAGCGCCACCTGTGGCTGCATGGGGAATAGCTGTTTAATGTAATGCTTGCAGGACGGCCACCTGCCGAAGAACCTCTTAGTTCCCATCGCTGCAAAGGGCTCCAGGCACTGCTTGCTGTGAGTGTGAGCCACTGTAAATTAGGGGCAGAGGGCACTTGCACTGCGGTAAAGACAGGTCTGGGCAGGAGGAGAGTGCATTGCAATCCCCTCCTGTGGGTCACCAGTAGACTGGTGCACCTGCCCAGGATCAGAGCCGGTGCAAGGATTTTTGCTGCCCTAGGCAAAGGAAAAATTAGCTGCCCCCCCATGTGACATCACAATGCCCCACCTATATAATCTGACATATGAACTAATGCCAAAGCTGCACACAGTGTGTGTTTACATTAAAAAGCCTGCAGGGACCGGCTATAGACACCAGAACCACTTCATTAAGCTATAGTGTTCCTTTAATGTGAGGTAAATTATAGATTAGTGTCACTAATAATATACTAGATTGCCTTCTTACAACCAGATGAGGAGGATGATGGGCTGCGGTTTGGCTCCACTGGTCTGGTGTAGAAGAGGATCTCCGAAGGCTGTTTGTAACTGTGGTCACAAAATTCAAACTTCTAGTATAATGGGAAGCAGCTCCATTTTTTGGGGGCCCCTTAAACAGCTCAAGGTGTGGGTCCCAGGGCCTGACGGTGAGTATGCCCATAAGGCCCACCTAAAAGTCCACCTACATGTTCCACCCATGAGTTCGCTCACCGGGAGTGGAGTGTGTAGGGGATGTGTTATTGTAGAGGATCTAATGTGTGTGCTTATGGTATGTAGTGTATAGGGATACCAGTTTGTGTAGGTGATGCAGTGTATTTGTAGTGGAGGCAGTGTATGTTTGTGTATAAGTGATGTATTGTGTGAATCTGTGTTTGTATGCATAAGGGATGCAAGGTTTGTGTCTGTAGTGTGTGCATTGAGTGTGTGTATGAAATACATTGTGTTTCTGTGTATATGTAAGAGAAGCAGTGTGTGTGTTTGCATGTGTGTGTAAGGGTTTGCATTGTGTGTTTCTGTGTATGTGTGCAAAGGATGCATTGTCTTTGTGTGTAATGGATGCATTGTGTGTTTCTCTGTGTGTAAGGGAAGCATGTTGTGTTTCTGTATGTGTAGGAATGCATTGTGTGTTTGTGTATGTATAGGGATGCATTGTGTGTGTGTGTGCGCGTAGTATGAAAGAGCTCCCTGTCCTGCCCCCTGTCCTATAGAGCTCTCCCCTGCCCCTTAGTGGTCTCTCCCCCCCCCCTTCCCTAGCAGTCACTTCTCACACCCACACACCCTCCCTGTGCTCTTCTCATCCACCCCCCCAAACCTCCGGTATTCTTTTCAGTCCCCTCCCTCCCATGTGTTCTTCTCACTCCCCACCCCCCATGTGTTCTCCTCACCTCCCCCATGTGTTCTACTCACTCCCTCCACCCTCCCTGTGTTCT